TTGTCCATTTCTGGGTCAATCATTCTGGGTGTTTTTATTCGGCCATTCTCCCGGGTTCTGGAAAATCTTGCCGGCATTTGGCAACCCTGAGGAGTCGTGTGCTGAACCGTGTGCTTTGATGTGAGTGGTTAAAGGAACTTGTCATTCAAGATAACAGATAAGTGGTTTATCCAATCACAAACAAGGATTTTTTGTACAAAGCCCCGCCTTCTGAAATTCACCCGTTATGAAGCAGGCTCAGACCCTTGTGAGAAGATCAGCGAACTACAAGGGTTGGCGAGAATCAAGCTAGTTGTGGCCATCCTTGCAGGTGAAAGCTAGATCCTGTCAGACCTCTGAAACTGTGCAGGGCAAAGCCTGGTTAGTACTGTGATGGGAGACCTCTGGGAACACCAGGTGCCACAGTGGGGCGGCTACGGCTGTAAAGTACCAAGCTGTGGTTGTGTCCTTAGGCAAGACACTTCACCCACATTGCTTAGAATAAGTCTGGTGTGTGTTATTTCACCAGGATCCACTTGATTGATGGTTTTATATTCACAAAAATCAAGTGTTTTTGCCACAATTGCACCAGAATCAGTCCAGTTAAAGTAAACCAGAATAAGTGCAACCTTTGAGAATGATTTCAGTGATTTTATGGGTGATGTATTTTGTGTTCTACTCTGTACTATGAGTGAATCAAAATCCAGAGTAACTTCTCCACTCACTGTGAAACAAGCTCAGACCTGCGCTGGTATTTCTTCTCTGGAATTCATTGTTGGAGGTAAATGTGCAGCTGTGGTTCTCTGTGGTTTGATGACGTCTCTCTGTGTCTTCAACAGGAGACTGAGAGCGATAAGACTGAAGCAGGATCCACTCCGACAAAGCCATCGGAACTCAAAAAGGTTTGTGAATGTGCACTTTCCCTTCAGGCCGATATGCATTACCTGGATTTGAACACTGTCAGAGAAGAAGCCTGTCTCACATTTTCAGGAAGAGTGTTTTAGCTGCATAAATCTGAAATTCTGCCTCCCTAACCCTAACCCATGTTTAGTTTTGACTCTGTGCACCAGTAAGAGGCCGCTGGTCAAACTGGTCAAACACAAAGCCCTAGAACTCATTTAATTGTAATTGATCTTATATTTATTCTGCATCCATGTGTGTATCTTTATTGATACAGGGAACAACAAAAAACATAAGCCTGATATTAGACTTAGACTTTATTGATCCACAGGGAAACGGCGTTGTCACAGTAGCTTGCATTGTAATCCACAATAAAAATAACTTTATAGTAACAATCAGAAAATAGGAATAATATTAAGATAACATTGTGAGAATAGAATAATCTGGATATAGGTCCTCAGGAATATACATCTCTGAATATGTACACATTTACACTATCTGTATCTACTTGAAGCCTGGAACAGAAATCTACCTCTTTGGGAATCTCTATCACCTGGTTTTAGGGGTTTTTACCATCAAACTGCATCCAAACCATTTAGTAAAGGTCTTTAATCAATCTACATCTTAGAAAAAAAAAATATATATATATATATACAGGTGGCTTTCTTCAAGGAGTGACCATTAAAGGGTTAAAATATGGCCTGGCATGTTATACATCATTTTTGTATTTTTTGTTTTCTTCTCAATGAATCAACACTGTATGACTGCCGCATTATACACTTTATCCAGCCAACAGAAAGCACTCTGGCTTCCCCTGCCAAACCCGACCAGCCTCCCAGAAGCCCTCCTCCAGCACGTCCCGCTCCTCCCAAAGTCCTGCTGGAGGGAAAAGCATCGTGTGCGAAAGACAAGCCCAGTGTGGAGAGTCTGCAGGTGGAGGTGCAGGAGCTGAGGGCGGCGCTGGAGCTGCTGCAGACGCAATACAAGTACGTCCCGAGAGAGAGAGAGAAAGAGAGAGAGAGACCAGAGAGAGGGAGAGAGAGAGACCAGAGAGAGAGAGAGAGAGAGAGAGAGAGAGAGAGGGACCAGAGAGAGAGAGAGACCAGAGAGAGAGAGAGAGAGAGACCAAAGAGAGAGAGAGAGAGAAGATAGAGAGAGAGAGAGAGATACCAGAGAGAGAGAGTGAGAGAGAGAGAGAGAGGCAGAGACAGAGAGGGACCAGAGAGAGACCAGAGAGAGAGATACCAGAGAGAGAGAGAGACCAGAGAGAGAGAGAGAGAGAGAGAGAGACCAAAGAGAGAGAGAGAGAGAAGATAGATAGAGAGAGAGAGAGAGAGATACCAGAGAGAGAGTGAGTGAGAGAGAGAGAGAGAGGCAGAGACAGAGAGGGACCAGAGAGAGAGACCAGAGAGAGAGAGAGTTCTTGGACCTGGTGGTTATGTAGAAGCAGAATACATTTAGCAGTGCTTCAGCTGCAGGTTTAAAGGCTTCAGCTGCAGGTTTAAAGGCTTCAGCAGCAGGTTTAAAGGCTTCAGCTGCAGGTTTAAAGGCTTCAGCTGCAGGTTTAAAGGCTTCAGCTGCAGGTTTAAAGGCTTCAGCTGCAGGTTTAAAGGCTTCAGCTGCAGGTTTAAAGGTCTCAGCAGCAGGTTTAAAGGCTTCAGCTGCAGGTTTAAAGGCTTCAGCTGCAGGTTTAAAGGCCTCAGCAGCAGGTTTAAAGGCTTCAGCTGCAGGTTTAAAGGCTTCAGCTGCAGGTTTAAAGGCCTCAGCTGCAGGTTTAAAGGCCTCAGCTGCAGGTTTAAAGGCCTCAGCTGCAGGTTTAAAGGCTTCAGCTGCAGGTTTAAAGGCCTCAGTTGCAGGTTTAAAGGCTTCAGCTGCAGGTTTAAAGGCTTCAGCTGCAGGTTTAAAGGCCTCAGCAGCAGGTTTAAAGGCTTCAGCTGCAGGTTTAAAGGCTTCAGCTGCAGGTTTAAAGGCCTCAGCAGCAGATTAAAAGGCTTCAGCTGCAGGTTTAAAGGCCTCAGCTGCAGGTTTAAAGGCTTCAGCTGCAGGTTTAAAGGCCTCAGTTGCAGGTTTAAAGGCTTCAGCTGCAGGTTTAAAGGCCTCAGCAGCAGGTTTAAAGTTTAAAGGCCTCAGCTGCAGGTTTAAAGGCTTCAGCTGCAGGTTTAAAGGCTTCAGCTGCAGGTTTAAATGCTTCACCTGCAGGTTTAAAGGCTTCAGCTGCAGGTTTAAAGGCCTCAACTGCAGGTTTAAAGGCTTCAGCTGCAGGTTTAAAGGCACACTGTGTAATTTTACTCCCATCGAGCATTGAGATTATTTATTGTAATTTAAGGTCCGGTACGGTAGCTTCGTAGAACAATATGTGGTCTTTGACAGTGGTCCCTAACTCCCGCTCAAACTGCTTTTTGTCCCTTATCAACCACTGTATTTCCAGATGGAGGATTGACAGAGAGTCCTCCAGCCTCTTGGACATTTATAACTCAGATTCTAAGCCTATGACAACAACTCAAAAATATGGTGTGCGTAAATGTTCTTTAAAAAGTCTCATTTGTGAAGACATGAATTTACCGTTACTACAGTCCAAATATCCACAGGTTTCAGAATGAGAATTTATGACTGTTGCTAGTGAGATTAATACTTAAGAATCGGGGAAAAAGGCCTCAAAATGTTTTGTTAACGAGAATCTGAAGCCCATAAATTGGCATTTTTCTGTAGCTGAAATGAAAATCAAAAGCCTCAACTTATAAAACTGGAGGTGATGTTTTCAACCGATTATACTGTTGAACAAAATGCTACATTTTGTTTCACTTCAGGGATCTCCAACCTGTAGCTCTAGATCCACCAGTAGCTCTCCACCCCCTTTCCAGGTAGTTCGCCAAAAGATTTATAATTGAACGAATCAAATAATATACTTAATATTTCAGATTGTCATGTCATTTTAATCCATCTCTGAGTCTGGGGCAGTCAGAGCTGCCTCCCAATGCTCCACTATCGAAGACACAGCCTTGGTGTTCAGGCAGAGTGGGGTTAAGTGTCTTGCCCAAGGACACAACAACAGCTGGCATCAGAGGGAGCAGGTGACATGGGTCGTACAGGGCTCGAACCCACAACCTTTAGTTCCAAAGCTCTACCAACTGAGCCACTGTCACACCTTTTATCAGATTGTATTATCCATTGTCATTATTTATCAGTGTAAAGGCACTTACTTTGTCACTAGTAACAAATACATAATGATAAATAATGACCGTTGCCAATATCAGGCTCTTTCACACCAAAATATCACCACATTTTCCCCATGGTTTGCTTATAGTAGCTCTCTGCCTTTATCGTCCTGGGAAAGTAGCTCTCTGGGTGGAAAAGTTTGGAGACACATGTTAAACTGAATACCTAAATCCCACGATATGGCAAGACACGTTTATGTGTATTGCACAGTTCCTATACAAAGCCACTCAAAGGGCATTGCAATCGTCAAATAATCCCTCAGTTTTTACCTGGATATGAACATTGTCAGAGAAGAAGCCTGTCTCACTTTTAGCTGCATAATCCTGACTCTGGGCACCAGCAGGAGGCCAATCCTTGTGTTCCCCAGAGTCCCAGCAGGAGGCCAGTCCCTGTACTCCCCAGAGTCCCAGCAGGAGGCCAGTCCCTATGCTTCTCAAAGTCCCAGCAGGAGGCCAGACCCTGTGCTCCCCAGAGTCCCAGCAGGAGGCCAGTCCCTGTGCTCCTCAAAGTCCCAGCAGGAGGCCAGACCCTGTGCTCCTCAAAGTCCCAGCAGGAGGCCAGACCCTGTGCTCCCCAGAGTCCCAGCAGGAGACCAGTCCCTGTGCTCCCAGAGTCTCAGCAGGAGACCACACCCTGTGCTCCTCAGAGTCCCAGCAGGAGGCCAGACCCTGTGCTCCTCAGAGTCCCAGCAGGAGGCCAGACCCTGTGCTCCTCAGAGTCCCAGCAGGAGGCCAGACCCTGTGCTCCCCAGAGTCCCAGCAGGAGACCAGTCCCTGTGCTCCTCCGAGTCCCAGCAGGAGGCCAGTCCCTGTGCTCCCCAGAGTCTGCAGTGGTTCAAACAGCTCTAACATGTCACAGATGTACAGACACACTGTTAAACCGTGGCTTTTGCTCAATTGTTTTTCTCTTCTCTTCCTTTTTGCGTTCAGCTTGTTTATTGTTTCCTTTATCTCGAATGTGAATTTCCTCCGCAAATCCACTCGCTGCTTCCATTTCTTTGTAGCTTCGACTCAATAGCTCCGACAAACGCTCCGTGTATCTGTTTCCTATTTGTAATTAGAAACCCGTCTTGTATTGTGTGCGTATGTAAAGCGGTATTTACCCTCACTTGGCAGGGCCTTGATCAGCGCGTCACACTGTACCGCACACACAGGCGCCTGCCATTGTCTTGAAGGAGAAGTGTTGGAGGGGATCAGACAACCTGGTTAATAAGACACTGTGCTGATTGTATTTGCTTTCCATTTGTCTCTCTTCGTTTGCATTGAACACGCGCGGCAGTAATTAAGCCACTAAGTGAAACTGAAACAGGCGAGTCGTGGGGTGAGCGACGCCTCGGTGTTATGGAGCGGGAACAAGAGGCAGAATGACAACAGCGCTAGAACAATACCGACAAATGGAAATCCTCTCATCACACGCATCCTTTTGTAAAACGGGACAAGGGGAAAGACAGAATGGGAGATTGGAATAAAAGCCATGCCAAAGTGACGGGAGATAACGCATGGCACTAATATGGGAACCGCAGTTGTAAATGTAAATGTGTTAGTGGTAAAGGCCCCATTCATAAAAAACTGATTTACAAAGGAACAAATGTAAGTTGCCAGTTTGTAGAAATCTTGCAGTGTATCCGCATTTCCCGCGTTTGTGGTTTAATTTTAGGTTGACACATTTATTTTGTGTAGGTTCACACATTTACATTACTGTAGGAAAACTGGTTTAAGAAGATGTATGTGCAGCAGACGTGCGTAACATGTTTCCATGTTAACCAATGCTGATATTTTAACTAGTAAATATATATACGCGTGTATGACGGACGTATGACGCGAGGCTGCACCTAATTTAGGTTGGATTTCTAATTTTGTGCACGCAGCAACATGTCTCCAAGTCGAAACTTATGTGAAACATGACTTTTCTAGCGGCCCTTGGCTTTAGATCACATCTACACACACAGACACACACACACACAGCACTTGTATCTAAACATTAGCAGGAGGAGCAGCAGGTTTTACAGTGATTCTAGACATCGTTTTTTTTTCTTTCATAAAGTCTGGCGTCTGGCCAAACCAGCGCACAGAGACCATGAAGACAAACACATGCATGTGGTTTGTGTTGCTCTACATCAGTCCTCTGGCCCGTACTGTCCTCTGCACTGCTCCACAGACTACACAAGGACAGCATCAGAAGCTGTGGACCTGCGCACGGCCTGTGGACGTTCAGCCAAATAATGTCACGCGCATATGCGCGCAGTCAACGCGTACGCGCTGTTAACGCCTACAGTGTAAATTCCCTGTAAGAGATAGGTTATCTCTAAACATATGTGCCAGAAGTTCTTAATATCATGGATGGATCTACAAACTCTTCCAGGTCTGTTTTTGGACCAAGGAACAATGTTGTGACATGGTTAAAATCTCAAACAGGTTGCATAATATGTCTCCTTTAAGATAAATAAAAAAACAATTCCCAGTGTGCCCTTGATTACTGTAGACGACCCTTACTGTATCCTTTACCCACTTGTGCCGGACAAGGACAATGAATCCCTCTTTTGGTTTTTACGTCCCTGCTTGTCTCCCTTTTAGCCAGTCAACCCCGGCAACAAATCAATGGCTGGGGATAAACGCAAATCCCCTGTAGAGGTGACTTATAGAAAACAATTTGAACCATGCACCTCTCTGGCGTTCCCGCTGCCCGGCCCTTAAACTGTATCCTGCTAACCTCAAACCGGCGCTGTCTGACAGTCAATTGAAATTAGATTCACAGGTAGATTGGAAGAGGAGGCTCCGAGGGGGAACCACTCCTGGTCTAATACAAGGTTGTTTAAGGATCCCGCGGTAATAGGAAAGGGTTTAGCGGTTAAGCAAGAATATTATTTTTCAATCAATCAATCAATCAAAGTTTATTTGTAGAGCGCCTTTCATACACATGGCAACACAAAGCGCTTCACAGTCCACATCACAAATCATCACATAAAACAAACACCAGAATCACAATTAAAACATTAAAATCACACAAAAGATTAAAACACAATTAAAACATTAAAATCACACAAAAGAATAAAACCATTAAAACTTTCAAAATTACACAAGAAATTTAAAAAAATAAATAAATGACAGCAGTGCATTAAAAATGGAGATAAAATCCTTCAGTTGTATGCACAGGCAAACAGAACAGTCTTTAACCTGGATTTGAACATTGACAGAGTAGACGCCTCCCTCACATTTTCAGGGAGATTGTTCCAGATCTTAGCTGCATGGATCTGAAACGCAGCCTCCCCATGTTTGGTTCTCACTCTGGGCACCAGCAGGAGGCCAGTCCCTGTGCTCCTCAGAGTCCGGGCCGGTTCATATGACACCAACATGTCACTAATGTATTCTGGTGCAAGGCCATGGAGAGACTTGTACACAAGCAGAGCCGTTTTAAAATCTATTCTTTGAGCCACAGGAAGCCAGTGCAGAGACCTGAGGACCGGACTAATATGGTCATACTTCCTGGTTCCTGTCAGGACTCTAGCTGCTGCATTTTGGATGTACTGCAGCTGCTTACAGGTCTGTTTGGACAGACCTGTAAGCAGGCCATTGCAGTAGTCTAGCCTGCTGGAGACAAATGCATGGACAAGAATCTCCAAGTCTGCCCTGGACACTATATTTCTAACTTTGGCAATGTTCTTCAGATGGTAAAAAGCTGTTGATGTTATTGATTTTATGTGGCTATTGAAATTTAGGTCTGAGTCCAGTATTACCCCCAAATTTCTGACCTTGTCTGAAGGAAGTAGGGAGAGAGACTGAAGTTGACAAATGACGCCCTCTCTTTGTTTCTGGGGACCAAAGACAATGATTTCGGTTTTGTCTGTATTTAGCTGGAGGAAATTATTTTGCATCCAGTCACTGATCTGTTGGATACAGTGAAGGAGCAAATCCAGTGGTCCATGTTCTCCTGCAGTCAGTGAGACATAGATCTGAGTGTCGTCAGCGTAATTGTGGTAGGACACTTTGTTTCTTTGTATTAACTGACCTAACGGCAGCATGTAGAGATTAAATAGGAGAGGTCCCAGGATCGACCCCTGTGGTACACCACAGGTCAGGGCCACATCATCTGAGACGCAGTCTCCAATCTCCACAGAGTACTTCCTATCCTCCAGGTAAGACCTAAACCAGTCTAGGGCTGTGCCAGTGACACCAGCCCAGTCCTCCAGTCTCTGCATGAGGATCTCATGGTCGACAGTGTCGAACGCGGCACTAAGATCTAACATGACCAAAACTGTGACTTTACCTGCATCAGTGTGAAGTCGAATGTCGTTTGTTACCTTCACTAGAGCGGTCTCAGTGCTGTGGTGGGGTCTAAACCCAGACTGGAACATATCAAAAGAATTATTCATTGTTAAAAATTCAGTAAGTTGTTGGGAGGCCACTTTTTCCAATAATTTTTCCAATTTTTAGTAATTGATATCTTTTTTTTCTTCCGTATTTCAGAATGTGTGATGACTGAGCAGTTGATGCACCTTAAAGGTATTTCAGGAGATGTTTCTAATAATCAAAATAATACAGTAAATGTACATCACTATTTCATCGGGGCATCACGATTCTCCAAATCCCCAATTCCATTTGATTTTTTTCTTTTTCTTACAGTGTACTGTAGCATGGCTTAAGTACGCTAATTAAATGTTTAAATCCAGCGTGTTCCACCGAATAATTATCTGCTGCAATAAATAACTGTCAATATAAATTAATACATTTATACTATAGTGAGTACGGTACACTCTGTACTAAAAAAACTGTTAAACCATGGTGTGAACGCTCCTTAATGCTCTGATCCAATGCGACGAGTTTACACAGACTGTTTGCTAATTAGATTTGATCTAAGATTAGATTTGATCTAATTTGCTCTAAAATGTCGAAGAAATGACCAGGACAAGTAGAGGGCCTGTGGTGATGATACAGGACATTCTACAACATGTATGGACATTGGTCTCCCCCTATGGTCCAATACCATGTGGTCTCCCCCTATGGTCCAATACCATGTGGTCTCTCCATATGCAGCTTATGAGTTGGAAAAAAAATTGATTTGTGTTTAGTTGTCCTTTTAAAGGCTCTTTCCTTTAGTTCCTGAAAGAGCAGAATACTGTTAGATTCCTCTATAAGAAGTACAGTTATTTACAACACGTGTCAAAACCTTTTTCTTTGAAGCCCTCTTTATTCCTGGGAAGAACCACTGGCTCTGTTCCTCAGACTGGATCTGCTGAAGCTCTGACAGTTACAGTGCCTTGCGAAAGTATTCGCCACATTTCAGGCTTCAAACATAAAGATATAACATTTTAATTTTTTGTCATGAATCAACAACAAGTGGGACACAATCGTGAAGTGGAACAACATTTATTGGATAATTTTAACTTTTTTAACAAATAAACTGAAAAGTGGGGCGTGCAATATTATTCGGCCCCTTTACTTTCAGTGCAGCAAACTCAGTCCAGACGTTCAGTGAGGATCTTTGAATGATCCAATGTTGTCCTAAATGACTGATGATGATAAATAGAATGCACTTGTGTGTAATCAAGTCTCCGTATAAATGCACCTGCTCTTTAATAGTCTCAGGGTTCTGTTTAAAGCGCAGAGAGAACCATGAAGACAAAGGAACACACCAGGCAGGTCCGAGATACTGTTGTGGAGAAGTTTAAAGCCGGATTTGGATACAAAAAGATTTCCCAAGCTTTAAACATCTCAAGGAGCACTGTGAAAGCAATTATATTGAAATGGAAGGAGTATCAGACCACTGCAAATCTACCAAGACCCGGCCGTCCCTCCAAACTTTCATCTCAAACAAGGAGAAGACTGATCAGAGATGCAGCCAAGAGGCCCATGATCACTCTGGATGAACTGCAGATAACTACAGCTGAGGTGGGAGAGTCTGTCCATAGGACAACAATCAGTTGTGCACTGCACAAATCTGGCCTTTATGGAAGAGTGGCAAGAAGAAAGCCATTTCTCAAAGATATCCATAAAAAGTCTTGTTTAAAGTTTGTCACAAGCCACCTGGGAGACACACCAAACATGTGGAAGAAGGTGCTCTGGTCAGATGAAACCAAAATGGAACTTTTTGGCCACAATGCAAAACGATATGTTTGGCGTAAAAGCAACACAGCTCATCACCCTGAACACACCATCCCCACTGTCAAACATGGTGGTGGCAGCATCATGCTTTGGGCCTGCTTTTCTTCAGCAGGGACAGGGAAGATGGCTAAAATTGATGGGAAGATGGATGGAGCCAAATACAGGACCATTCTGGAAGAAAACCTGTTGGAGTCTGCAAAAGACCTGAGACTGGGACGGAGATTTATCTTCCAACAGGACAATGATCCAAAACATAAAGCCACATCTACAATGGAATGGTTCACAAATAGACGTATCCAGGTGTTAGAATGGCCAAGTCAAAGTCCAGACCTGAATCCAATCGAGAATCTTTGGAAAGAGCTGAAGACTGCTGTTCACAAACGCTCTCCATCCAACCTCACTGAGCTCGAGCTGTTTTGCAAGGAAGAATGGGAAAGAATTCCAGTCTATGTGCAAAACTGATAGAGACATACCCCAAGCGACTTGCAGCTGTAAATGCAGCAAAAGGTGGCGCTACAAAGTATTAGCGCAAGGGGGCCGAATAAATTTCTTCCACTTCACGATTGTGTCCCACTTGTTGTTGATTCTTGACATTTATTTTTATTTTTATATCTTTATGTTTGAACCCTGAAATGTGGCGAAATGTTGAAAGGTTCAAGGGGGCCGAATACTTTCGCAAGGCACTGTATAATGTTGTGGCTCATATTCTCCAGGTCCAGTGTACGTTGGTTTCCACATCAACACCGTGTCCTTCAGGGATTGATAAAATACACTGTTTCTTACATTCACACTTTCTATTCTTTGTAAAGTTTGTGTTAATAATAACAGTAAAATCTTTTCTTGACACTGGTGTTGTGCACTTGTAAACATGAAATAGTGTGCTTGAGTGCCAACCTTGATCCTGACAAGATATTATATAATATTTTTATTAGTAATAGAAAAAAACATTTCCAATCCGAAACATGCTATATATTTTTTTATTGACCAACATGAAGACAACGAATATTAACATTGATAAGATATTTACAGTTCAGTCCATAAATGTTTTAAATATTTGACACTATCACCCTTTATAAAAAATAAACTTGAATAGACTGAACAAAAAATGAATTTCTGTTTTAATTTGAAGATATTCTAAGACAAATTAATAATTATAATAATCATAATGCATTGATTTTATATAGCCCTTTTGAGTTTTTGTGGACACTTAAAGACACTTTTAAGAGTCATTATTCTTTCACTCCAAACACAGTAGTGATAAACTACTACTGTAGCCACAGCTGCCCTGGGGCACACTGACAGAAGCGAGGCAACCAGTCTGTGCTATCAGCCCCTCCCACCACCACCAACCATTCACACACACACCAGACTCATTCTAATGTGGGTGAAGTATCTTGCCTAAGGACACAACCACAGTTTGGCACTTTACAGCCGCCCCACTGTGGCTGCTGTTCCCAGAGGTCTCCCATCACAGCACTAACCAGGCCCTAATTATATGATTTACAATAGTTTCCAGTTCCTCCCAAACTTTTTTTTACACATATTACATAAGATAAGAGATCATCTATTTGTCCCACAGTGGGGAAATTTCAATGTTGCAGCGCACAGACAGGACAGCAGTAAGAGACACAAGGAGCACACAGAATATACAATATAAGTATCTGCTCTGTTTCTTAGATATCTGTAAATGCTTCAATAACAGACACATAACAATCATAATCCAACGTAGACTTTTTAAAACAGTTTCTCTGCTGATGCTCTGGCCTCTGTGGCGACATGTTCCCTCTCCTGTTTGTTCATGGGGTCGTTTTTCCAGTTTGATTCAGAAAGTGAAATCCCTGCTCAAATGAGAAATCAGATTCAGGTTGTGTGATTGACTTGGCTTCGACTTGGCATTATGTCCCTGCTTTTTTTACTTTTAAAAACTATTCAAATGTCTCTGTCCATCTGCGCTGTGAGAGCCGTCCAAAGAATCTTGGACCCATAATATTCCCCAAACCACTGTAATTGTCAATCAATTCTTTGGAAACTTTACCCACACCATGATAGCACCACCTAATCCTTCTCTGTTCTCTTCTGTTTCCATCGCTCTACAACTTAATCTTTGTCATTTGAACTGTAAAGACTGGTTCGATTTCCAAACTTTCAAAAATCTATTCATTTAGAGCTGACAACTTGTAAATATAACCTTGTAAATATACCAACACATGCTGAATATATGGCAAATACTGTCGCTTGATTGTATATTGTTGTATTTGCATGTGTGTGTATATACTGTAATGGACGCTCAGTAACAAGGTACATATA